AGGGACGGGGACCGGCAAGGCCCTGGCCTCACCGAGCAGCTCTCTGCGGCCCCGCTGAGCCGGGGTCCTTGGCCCCTTCCCCCAGGGCCGGGGTGGCCCGGGGACCCGCTGGCTGCGGGGGATGGAGGCGGCGGACGATGCAGGCAGGGGGTGATGAAGGGAAGGGATGATGCAGGGAAGGGGTGATGCAGGGAAGGGGTGATGCAGGCAGGGGGTGATGCAGGCAGGGGGCGATGCAGGCAGGGGGTGATGCAGGGAAGGGGTGATGGTGTCAGGGGTTGATGCAGGCAGGGGGCGATGCAGGCAGGGGGTGATGGAGGCAGGGGGTGATGCAGCATGGGCGCAGCGCGGCTGCCCTTGGCCTTGCAGTGAGGGCTGGGGGTGCAGCAAACGCTCCTGGGGCTCCGTCCGACCCGGCCGGGGGGGGCCCTGCGAGGGGGTCGGGACCTCGGCCCCGCTGGAGCCTCCTCTGCAGATGCCGCGAGGGTTTGCACGGAGACCCCCCGGCCTCCCACGCGGGACTCTGCCCCGGCGGGGCGGGGCGGGGCGGGGGGGGGTCCCGGCGCCCACGTCAGTGCGGAGGCGGCTGGTGCGGGCGCCGGGGCCCGCAGAGGTGTGTCAGCTCCGCTGCAGTGGGAGGGGAGAGCGGGAGCTGGACCCGCCGCGCCGCCGGCCCGCGGAGCCCGCAGGGTCCACGGGGTCCCCAAAGCCCGCAGCATCTGCGGGGTCCCACAGGGTCCCCACAGCACGCAGGGTCTGTGGGGTCCGCGGGGTCCCCAGAGCGTGCAGGGTCCGCGGGGTCGTGCAGGGTCCGCGGGGTCCCACAGGGTCCCCAGAGTGCGCAGGGTCCCCACAGCACGCAGGGTCCTCGGGGTCCTGCAGGGCCGGGCCGGGGGGCTGCCGCGGGGACACCGCCCAGTGCAGCGCCCTGAGCCCCACTCTCCCTGCAGGACCCTGCTACGATGAGCTCGTCGCTCCCCTCTACTCCTCATCCATCGGTGCCTCCTCCAGATACAACATCTTCTACTCGGCCAGCTTTGCCCGGCTGCACAGTGAGTCCCCCCACAGGACCAGGGTGCAGACGGGGCGGGGGGCAGTGGGCAAGTGGTGTCCCCAGCAAGGTCTTGCCTCGTGTGGGGCTGAGGGGTCCTCGGGTGCTCACGGCAGAGCCCTCAGCATCCCCCAGGGATGGAGGAGAGCCCTGCAGCCCTCCAGCTCCCACCCACAGTAGGGTGCTGCAGTGGGGCTGAGCAAGCAGCCCCTGCTCAGCCAGGATCCGCTGGGCACCAGGCTGTAGGGCCGGCTGAGCCTCTCCCCCTGCAGGCACCAGTGGCTGGTCCCCTGACCCCCGGGACAAACAGCCCTGGCTCCAGATCGACCTGATGCAAAAGCACCGGATAAATGCGGTGGCCACGCAGGGGACCTTCAACACCTACGACTGGCTGACACGCTACATTGTGCTCTATGGAGACCACCCCACCAGCTGGAAACCCTTCTTCCAGCAGGGCAGCAACTGGGTAGGGAGGTGCCTAGGGGTCCCTGTGGGAGGGGGTCCCCTGGAGATAGCGGAGACCCTGGCCCAGAGCGAGGTGCTGATGGTAGCTCTTCGTCCCCAGACATTCTTCGGGAATGTGAACGAGAGTGGGGTGGTGCGGCACAACCTGCACTACCCCATCCTTGCACGCTACGTCCGCATCATCCCGGTGGCCTGGAACCCGCGCGGGAAGATTGGGCTGCGCCTGGGCCTCTACGGCTGCCCCTACCGTGAGTACCCGGCCCAGGGGCTCCAGCAGCCCTGCGCAGGGTGATATCGTGGCCCAGCCACCCACGTGGCAGGGGACCAGCCCCTGGCGCTGCATGCCAGAAAACCCTTTCCCAGAGGGGATTGTGTCCAAGCCATCTGCAGTCATTAGCGCTGGCATAAACCATAGCAGAAAGGAGAGTTCCCCATGCTGGGACACCTGCTGCTGTGGGCAGTGATGTGGCTGGGGCTGCTCTGCTCTCCCCAGGGTCCCACGTGCTCTACTTTGATGGGGATGACGCCATCTCCTACCGCTTCCGGGCTAAGAGGATCAGCACTCTTGAGGATGACATCTCCTTCAACTTCAAGACACTGGAGCAGGACGGGGTGCTGATGCATGGGGAGGGCTCGCAGGGTGACTACATCACGGTGGAGCTCAAGCAGGCCCAGCTCCTCCTGCACATCAGCTTAGGTGAGCTGGGGCCGGGGGGTTGGGGGATGCAGGGCTGGGGGGCTGCCAGCTGAGGCTGCCCCTCCCCAGGCAGCAGCCCGCTGCATGCCAGCGAGGGCCACACGACGGTGGCAGTGGGCAGCCTCCTGGATGACCAGCACTGGCACTCACTGCACATCGAGCGCTACGGCCACCACGTCAACCTGACGCTGGATGGGGAGGTCAAACGCTTCCGCTGCCATGGCACTTTCAGCCAGCTCGACCTTGACACCGAGGTGGGTACGGCAGGCAGGGAGCTGCTGGGATGCTGACCCGTGACATCCCCCAGTGAGGGGCTAAACCCCCACCTCTGCCTCCCAGATCTTCTTTGGGGGGGTGATCGACCAGGACAAGCAGCACCTCACCTACCGGCAAAACTTCCGGGGCTGTGTGGAGAACATCATCTTCAACGGGGTCAACATCGCCGACCTGGCCCGGCACCGGAGACCCAACATCCGCTTTGAGGTCCAGCCCTGGGGGGTGGCCCCTTCCCTGGGGGTCCCATCTCTGCCATGGGGGGACCTGTTTCCTGGAGGAGGGCCACGTCCTCAGCCCTGCTGTGGGGTGACCCTTTCCCTGGGGCCAGGCTCCCCCCAGATGTGGGGTGACATGAGGCCAGGCAGCGGCCATGCTCAGCTGAGTGGCGCCACATCGACCATGCAAGGTCGTCCCTGGCCCAGGGCGCCTGCCCGGCACTGCCAGGCGATGGGATCGAGCGGGGGCTATTGGGGCCAGGGCTGTGGGGATGGGGGGGCCTCCCCGCCATGGAAGCATCCTCTTCCTCACCACCTCCCACGGTCACCCCCAGGGCAGCGTGGGCCACTACTGCCAGGACCAGCTGAACACCCCCATCACCTTCGCCGGCATCAACAACTACGTGCGGGTGCCGGGGATCCCACGGAGGAACCGCCTGGCCGTCAGCTTCCGCTTCCGCTCCTGGGACACCGCCGGGCTTCTGCTCTACACCAGCTTCGCCGACCGCCTGGGCTCCCTTGAGGTGGTGCTAAGTGAGGGGCAGGTCAATGTCTCCATCGCACAGCCTGGCAAGAAGAAGCTGGAGTTTGCTGCAGGTGGGCTGAGGAGCCGGCCCGGGGCCGGGGGTGGGTTTGGCGGCAGTGCCTCCCCATGCGCCCTCCTCTCCCTGCACAGGGCATCGCCTGAACGACGGCTTCTGGCACTCGGTGCAGCTGGTGGCGCGGGACGGCTCAGCCGTGGTGACCATTGATGATGACGACGGCGCCGAGTTTCGGGTGGCGCACCCCTTCCAGCTCCGTACCGGCAGCCAGTACTTCTTCGGAGGTGGGTGGCAGAGCGGGGGTTGGGGACGATGGGTGCCTGGAGGCCGCTCACCACACTGTGCCTTGCAGGCTGCCCCAAGCCCGCCTCGGTCACTGGCTGCCGGTCGAACCAGACAGCCTTCCACGGCTGCCTGCAGATGCTGAACGTGGACCTGCAGCCTGTGGATGTGGAGCTGCTGGTGCAGCACCGGCTGGGGCAATACTTCAACGTCCTCTTCAACGTTTGCGGCATCACGGACAGGTATCAGTTGGGACAGGGATACCGGCTGGGAGCGGGTGGGGGACGGGGGACTGTGCCAGTGCCAGGACAGGAGCCCTCTGCGCCCTCAGGTGCACCCCCAACCTGTGCGAGCACGACAGCCGCTGCGTCCAGTCCTGGGACGACTTCATGTGCATCTGCGACCTGACGGGGTACAAGGGGGAGACCTGCCACAAATGTGAGCCTGGGGCCTCACGGGTCGGGAGTCAGGAAGGGCACCTGTGACTCCTCCCACTGCCTGACACCCCACTCATGCTGACCCCAGCCGTGTTTCCCCCTTCCAGCCCTTTACAAGGAGTCGTGCGATGCTTACCGGGTCAGCGGGAAAACCTCAGGGAACTACACGATTGACCCAGATGGCAGTGGGCCGCTCAAGCCCTTCACGGTGTATTGCGATATCCGAGGTGGGGGCGGCGGGAGGGCATGGGGGTCCCTTTGCCCGGTGCCCCCGGGGACCAGCCCCTGCCTATGTATCAGGGCTGGAGCAGGATGGAGGGAGCAGGGGTGTCTGGGGGGGCCAGTCCTAACAGCCCCCCTGCCTCCGCAGAGGACCGAGCGTGGACCATCATCCGGCACAACCGTCACTACGCCACGCGGGTGACAGGCTCCAGTGTGGACCAGCCCTATCTGGGGGCCGTGGAGTACTGGAACGCCTCCTGGGCTGAGGTCTCGGCACTGGCAAATGCCTCTGAGTACTGCGAGCAGCGCATCGAGCTCCACTGCTACAGCTCCCGCCTGCTCAACACCCCCTGTGAGTGCCGGTGGCAGCGGGGCCATGCCGTGGGGCTGTACTGTGGGACTGTGTCCTCACCCTCCCCTGTGCCCACAGCTGGGCTGCCCTTCAGCTTCTGGATGGGCCGACATGATGAGCGGCACTACTATTGGGGGGGCTCACGGCCGGGCATCCAGCGCTGTGCCTGCGGGCTGGACAAGAACTGCGCTGACCCCAAGTATTTCTGCAACTGCGACGCTGACCATGCACTGTGGTGAGTCGGCAGGGGCTGTGGGCACAAGGGGGCACAGACTCTGGATTGTTCAGGCGGGGGTTCAGCAGGGGTGCATGCTGGGGCAGAAGCCCCTCACGGCCCTTCCAATGCATGCACCATTTGCAGGAGGACGGACAAGGGTCTGCTGACCTTCGTGGACCACCTGCCCGTCACCCAGGTTGTAGTCGGAGACACCAACCGCTCCGGCTCTGAAGCCCAGTTCCTGCTGGGGCCCCTGCGGTGCTATGGAGACCGTGAGTGATCAGATCTGCAGAGGGTCCCCTGCCTGCAGGAGTCCCATGCCCATGGAGGGTCCCTGCCCATCCCTCACCGCCCGTCCTGCTCCCCACAGGCAACACCTGGAACACCGTCTCCTTCAACAGGGGTGCAGCCCTGCTCTTCCCCACCTTCCAAGCCAACCACAGCCTCGACATCTCCTTCTACTTCAAGACCACCGCCCTGTCCGGTGTCTTCCTAGAGAACCCCGGTTCCCGAAACTACATCCGCATTGAGCTCAACAGTACGGGCGGGTGGAGGGTGCAGGGGTGCAGGGGGTGGTGGGGCTGGGGGCTCCTCCCAACACCATGTCCCTGCAGCCACCAGGGATGTGGTGTTTGCCTACGACATCGGGAACGGGGATGAGAACCTGACGGTGCGGTCGGTGGTGCCCTGGAACGATGATGAGTGGCACCAGGTGAAGGCTGAGCTCAACGTCAAGCTGGCGCGGCTGCGGGTGGACAAGCTGCCCTGGGTAGTGCGGCCGGCCCCCCCGCAGAGCTTCGTCCACCTGAACTTCGACAGGCCCCTCTACGTCGGTGAGAGCCCCCGGCTGCGTCCCCGTGTCCCCAGGTCCCCGTGTGCCGCAGGGCGCTGAGTCTCGGCCCCGCTGCAGGCGCAGCAGAGCACAAGATGCGTCCGTTCCTGGGGTGCCTGCGGGCGCTGCGGATGAATGGGGTGACGCTCAACCTGGAGGGCAAAGCCAACGAGACGGAAGGCGTGCGGGTCAACTGCACCGGCCACTGCCAGGACCCGCCGGTGCCCTGCCAGAACAGCGGGCTCTGCGTCGAGCGCTACAGCCACTACAGCTGCAACTGCAGCATCTCCGCCTTCGATGGGCCCTTCTGCAACCACGGTGAGTGGGTGCACCTGCTTGCACCAAGAGTGGGGGCCCTCCCTGGGGCCGGGATGGGGGAGAGGAGCTGGCGTTCCCGTCACCCTGTTTGTCCCCCCCCGCAGACATCGGCGGCTACTTCGAGGAGGGCACCTGGGTGCGGTACAACATCCTGCCGATGTCGCTGTACGCCGCCCGCGAGTTCGCCAGCATCATCAGCAGCCCCTGGCAGCCCCTGCCCGGCTACAACCTCACCAGTGAGGAGGTCAGCTTCAGCTTCAGCACCACCTCAGCGCCTGCCGTGCTGCTCTACGTCAGCTCCTTCGTCAGGGACTACATGGCCGTGCTCATCAAGGACGACGGTGAGGGCAGGGGGACCTCCCCAGCACAGGGGACCCTCCTCCACCCTGATGCCAGTCCCCAGCACTATGGAGGGGGTGGGCTCGCCCACCGAGAGCCCAGGCACCACTGACGGCCCCGCTCGGCCCGCAGGGAGCCTGCAGCTGCGCTACCAGCTGGGCACCAGCCCCTATGTCTTTGCCCTCACCACCAAGCCAGTGACGGACGGGAGGCCCCACCATGTCAACATCACCCGCCTGCACCGCACGCTGTACACCCAGGTATGGGGCAGGGGCATCCTCCCCGCCAGGGCCTGGGGGACTGCAGGGCTGCGGGTCAGGCTAGGAAGGGGCACGGGCAGGGTGGCAGGAGGCAGAGGAGGCTCAGCGGGTGCTGACACCGTGCGCCTGCCTCCCAGGTGGACTATCTCCCTGTCATGGAGCAGCAGTTCTCCCTGTTCGTGGACAGCAAGCTGGACTCGCCCAAAAACCTGTACCTGGGGCGTGTGATGGGTGAGCTGGATGCTGCCCTCGACCCCCCCACCCCATGCTGGGATCTCCAGGGTCTCCTCTGCCCAGCATGGTTCTTGCCCTCCACAGGGGATGAGCCTTCTCCTTCTGTGCCCCCACAGAGACTGGCGTGATCGACCCCGAGATCCAGCGCTACAACACACCCGGCTTCTCAGGCTGCCTCTCAGGGGTGAAGTTTAACAGCCTCGTCCCCCTCAAAGCCATCTTCCGCCCCACCAGTGTCGTGCGGCCCTACAGCATCCGGGGGGAGCTGGTGGAGTCGAGCTGTGCCTCCATGCTCCCCCTCACCACCATCCTCATCCCTCCTGAGATGGACCCCTGGTACATGGGCACAGGTAGGTGCAGTGGTGGGACCCCAGTTGGGAGGGAGCCCCCCGGCAAGCATCAGCTGCAGACGGGACGTTCCAGCACCAGACCCCCCTGCAGCCCAGTCTCAGGCACCCGCTCTGTCTCTGCAGAGTTCCCCCACGTGCACGATGATGGCTGGATGGGGATCATCATTGGGTGTAAGTGAAGCGCTTGGCTGGTGTGTCTCCCCACCTCTGCCCTGGCCCTGTGCCCCCCCCCGACCCCTCACCACCACCTCTCCCCCGCAGTTGTGACCTTCCTGCTCCTGCTGCTCGGGGGGCTGCTGGTGCTGCTGTACTTTTACTACCACCGCTACAAGGGCTCCTACCACACCAACGAGCCCAAGGCCATCCAGGACTACGGCAGCGCTGCCAAACCGCTGTCGGTGCGCAAGGACCAGAACCTGCCCCAAATCCTGGAGGAGGCGAAAGGGGACTAGTGGGGCCGGGGTGTGGGATGGGCTCGCAGCCCTGGGAGCCACCTGGGGACGAGCAAGCGTCGCGGGACCAAAGGGCCGAGCACCTGAACTGCCAACACCCACCTCCGGACCGGACTGCACCGACCGCCAGCTCCTCCCCGAGGCTGCCACTGACCCAGCCCCGGACCGTGGCTGTGACCCACCGAGCCCCAGTCCCGCTCGCCCCGGGTGGGCATGCCGGCAGCCCCCACACCAGAGGCAGGCTGCTGCCTCCCACCAGCTGCCAAATCCTGCCCTGCCTCCGGTGGGGAGCCCCAGGGCCAGGCAGCCCACCCTCCCTTTCGCAGGGGAGCGCACTGGGTGTGCCCGGCTGCTGCTGACCCGTTAGCGATGCCTGCGCGTAGATTACCCACCGCTTTGCTCGCTTAGCCAGAGCCACGAAGGAAGCCACGCAATACCCAGCCTTGGGCACAGCCCAGGGCATGCCAAGCAATACCCTGCCCGTGCGGGCAACGGCTGCCGCTGCCACGCATGACGCCACCGCACTTTGCTGAGATGCTGCTTTCATACGATCAGGTACGGATCCTTTCTACCATTTTTGTTGCTGGATATTCTACTACACTCTGATTTTTTTATTCTATCGGTTTGTATAAAAAACCAAATGGAAGCTCCTGTCGGGTGTTACGTTCCGCGCGTCGTGGTACGTGGTCTGTAGTTTGCTACTTCTCTGTACGAAGTGCCGGTCCTGCCGATTACCTCCAGCCCAGGGAAATCTCCTGTTCACTCGCTGTATTGTGGTAAGACGATGTTACAGAAATGCATTTATCTACCCAAAGGCCTAGCTCCACTGGGCACTTTATTTTTAAAAAAACTGTTTCGCTGAATGAGATGTGAAGATACTCAAATAAAGGCAGAATGATGGTGTTAGACACTCCCCAGCCTTTGCTTCAGCAGCCTGGGCACACAGGGGCAGCCTGCACCTGGGTGAGGGACCAGCACAGCCAACAGCAATTCCCACTCCTGGAGCAGGATGTAGACAGCTGGGGCTGGATGCAGCTCAGCCCACTGCTATGCTTGTACATACATAAGTATGTCCTGCTCTCCCCACCATGCACCTCTACTGCCTCCTAGCCCTGAGCCAGCACCAGTTGGGGTAGCTGGTGGCACCGGGCTGCTCACGAGCCCCACTGGGCCCCAGGGTGCTGACTGCTATGGAGGGGGCAGCCGGACTGAGCCCACAACAGGCAGAGAACATGCTGCTGCCAGCTGTTCCCTAGGGTAACAGAGGCCAGCAAGCCACAGGAGGATGTTCACTACCACTTTATTATGACAAAGGCTACAAGCCACATTATTTTTAAAGTGCATTATTATTCACCGTCAACAAACCACAGACACAAGCCTGGCATAGTGCAGATATGGCCAAAGTGGCAGAGGATGCTGAGCTGAGAGCAGGGTCAGGGTGAGCTGGGCGGACGGAGGCGACAGGGAGTGGGGCTCAGGCAGGTGCCAGGGTACAAGTGCTGCTCCAGACAGACCCAAACCCCTCCGAGCCCCAGGAGAGAGTCACAGACAGCAGGAAGGACAGACGGGCAGCCTCGCCTGCCATGGGGGGGAGGCTGGGAAAAGCATGGCGCAGGGCTGTGCCAGGGAGGGCTCGGCTCCCGGGGCAGACCCAGCACCTCCCTGCGTTCATGGACCACAGGGCTGGGACGGGGCTGTGCCTTAGGAGCCCCGCATTTCCTCAAAGAAGCAGGGCAAGGGCCCCAGTGCTCCTCACCTCTGTGCGGTGCCCCCAGGCAAACACTACCCACCCTCCTCACACCCTATGGGGGTGAGGGGCTCCGGCCCCCTCAATGCCATGTCAGGCCTCGGCTGGGCTCCTTGCGCCATCCTGGGACCCCAGTGCTGGACACCCGGCGGAGCACCCTCCGGCACCCAGCAGCAGCCTGGGCAGTTGGCTGGCAGTGTACGTGGCTCCTAGGGGACAGCCCCATCCTTCAGGTCACCCCAGGCCCTGCTCAGGGAAAAGCCCCCTCATCCAGACTGCCCCATCCCAGGCCCAGAGCAACGTCCCTGCAAAGGTGCTGCTGAGAGATGACAGCCATGGTCCCTCCACCACCAGAGTGGTACCTGGGGCCCAGCTGCCAGCTGAGAAGGATTAATTTAAAGTGCTTTTTTCTTTTTCTTTTTGCATGGGGTGCTAAGGCCAAACCTCACCCTGCCAGAGAACATTTCCCCTTTATCTCCAGGGCCAGGACCAGGACCAGAGTGTCAGAAACCCCTAGGTAGGTTTCTGAGGAGCCTTCCCTGGGTCACCGCAGACAGTGGCAGGTCTGCTGCACCCTATTCAAACCTCAGCACAGCAACATTTAACAAGTCCTGCACAACGAAAGGCTCTCGCCCCAAGGGGAGCCACTCTGCTGGCTCCTGAAGTCCCCGACACCTCCCACAGAGCCTGTGCTGCTCCAAAAGGGAGCGTCCTGACAGAGGAGTGTGGAGGAACCAGCTCTGGTAACGCATGGTCAGGAAGCGCCTGCCCGGAGCAGAGGGTGGCCAAGGCCCATCTCCTGCTCTGGGTGCAGCCCCAGCCAGTCAGCAGGAGTCACCCCCCCGCCCCTGCAGCCCCAAAACTGCCTGGCAGAAGCATCCACGTGCCAGCCCCAGAAGGGCCACACAGCAGAGCAGCTGGGGACAGGCACGAGCCAACCAGCCATGCCACAGCCACACCACAGGCTGGAAGGGCTCACGGGTTCCTGCTGCCTCTGGACTCCTCTTGTGCTTGCAGCAGCACCCCCGTAACATTGTCTCTAACCAGCTCAGTGGCAACCCTACCCAAAGTGACTTTTTGCATAGTGCTGCTCTCCCCATCCCCAGGCATCGTGCCATGCCAGTCACGGCCAGGCAGTCTCTGTCCCCCAGCCAGCTGGGGCAGAGGGGAAACAGAGCCTCAGCAACAGCAGCCTGGGGCCCAGGGACCACTGCAGCCGTGTCTTTATGGCTTCCAACCCTGTTGCTGTCCTTGTCAACAGGACAAAACAGGCAGCAAGAGGTAGCACCCAAGACAAAAGCCTACCCCAGGGGACAGGGCCAGAGGGGACCACCAGCCCCTCTGCCTCCCAGCTGTGCCCCAGGTCTCAGTGCAGGCAGTACCTCACTCGCTCTTGTTCTTCCAGCAGTCGGCAGAAAATAGAAAGAGACTGAGAATTTGCAGCTGTCCCTCCTCCTGCACCACAGCTTTTCTTCAAGCCCCAGCTGCCTTGGTCCACGGGCTCCCTCCAGCCCGGGAGACTGCTCACAAGAGCAAGGCTCCAGAGCCTGCCCCAGCCCAGGGCTGGCAAAGCTGCCACCCCAGCAGCAGCCATTCACACTCCTGCCCTGAGTCTCTCTCTGGGCGTCTGGATGGAAAGTAGCACTTGTGACACACACAGCAACGGGAACAGCAGCAGTCATGTCAGCGTGAAGCAAACATGGCATTGCTTACAAGGTGCAGCAGCAAGGTGTGCTGGCGACCGCCCCACACAGAGCCTAGATGATATCTGTCTCCCTCTCTATGCCGACATACTTCAGGGCATCTGCTTGGCTGTACCTACAAGACAGGAAAGTCACAGCTGCTGTAATGACCTCCCGCGCTCCCGACAAACGTGTGCACAGAAAGCGGGAACAACCCTGCACCCCAGTTCCCAGCCAGCCGCTCCCCAAGGTACCTGTAATCAAAGAAGAGCTCCTCTCCTGCCTGGATGGCCCTCTTGGCAAAGATCCCTATCCTGTGGTCTCCATTCACCATCACAACTGCAACCAGAGAGACAACATCAGAGACTTGCAGCTCCAGCTCAGGCCAGGAGGTCTCACAGCACTTTTGCCCTGCCTGGCCACCTCCTAGGGGCCACGGTACCCAAGCTCCTGCCTAGCAGCAACGGGGTGCTCCCCGGGGAGCTCCTAGCCACCCTCTAGCAGCAATCTCTCCTTGTGAGGCTGGGACCACCACAGAGCTGAGTGGGGCCCTCACCAGCAGGAATGTGATTTGCTGCAGAGAGGAGACTTTGTCCAGGTCTTTGAAGTTCTGCTGCTCCCACAGGTTCAGGGTGACTTGGGACCCCAGAGAATCCACTGCAATCCCGGAGCTGAGCAGGACCCCAGAGAGCCATCCCCCACCAAGGTTTGACTGGGCAGGGATATCTCACCTTTGGCATAGCAATTGGGGTTCACTGAGTGATTGGCAAAGCGGATTTTATTTCCTTTGCGGGTGGCATCAACAACAAAATCTATTAAAAAAAATGAAAAAGAAAACTGTAGCGTAAAGAGAGGCCTGCCGCTCAGATGACAGACAGGCTGAGACTGCCCGCCCAGCCACCAGCCCCGTGCCAGGAAGCCCAAGTCTCCTCCACCCCTTGAAGCCCCAGGCAAGTTACCATTGTTGAGGTTGAAGAGGAAGCTGGACATATACTTGTCATAGACCTTCCCTCGCCGGTCAGCCTCATCCTGTGAAATAAGCTGGAGAAGGAGAATGCCTTGAGAGACTCGGCGCCTGAGGGCACAGCGAGGATCGCTGTGAGCGCTCGCCCACCTCCTGGAAACACCCTCCTGCCCTCCCACCCCAATGGGCATGAGCCTGCCAGGGCTCCCAGGGAGGGAACAGAGGCAAAAGCTGGGCTCTCAGGGAGCAGCACATACACGACACGTTCCTCCACAGCAGAGGGCCCAGAGGTACTGAAATGGGTCCCAAAATAGTATAAGATTCAATCTCTAAACCTGGTCAGAGTGAGCCCGCGGCCATGGTCAAGCTGGGGAAGGCATGCTGTCGCCACCGGACCAGCAGCCGAAGGAAGCACTTCCACTAAATGCAGCCTCCTGAGCACACACCACAGCAGCCCCAGCATGGGCAGAAGCACTGACCTCACCACAGTACTCTGAGATGAACTCATTCTTCTGCACAGATTCCTTGATGAAAGTCCCCCAGCCAGCGACATCTGACGGTGCCAGTAACAAATGCTGAGGCCAAGGTGAAAAGGAAACGGTTATGGTCAGCAGGCCCACCACCTCCCAGCACACAGGTCAGGCCCCATGCATCAGGCAGACCAGAAAGCAACAGTGAAGAGCTCTCCACCTCCCAGAACTGTTGCACATGCCGGGGTTAGGGCAGTGCCCAGGAACAGCCGTGTTGTGCTGGTTGCCACACTTGAAGTCCCAACATCACAGGGTCAGCATCCCCTGGTTTAAGGTGACACACGGCTCCCTACAGACTTACATATCATAGCACCATTAGGCTGGAGCTGCACATTACTTGACACCCACTAATCTGCATCTTTCTCTGAATTTTTGTCTTTTTTACATGCAATTCCTTGCCCTGACCAGCAGAATTCAAGACTAAACCTCTCTCTGCAGTCACTTCTTACATGCCCTTGCTCTCACCCTTCCTGATGTAACTCCCATCTCCTAATTTTCACATCCATAATCCATATTCCAGATTAAGTGCTACAGAAGCCTGGGGCAGAGCAGCCTCTCTCCCAGACCTCCTCACTCAGGGAGCTGCGGGTGGCTCGCACACTCTCTCCCACACAGCAGGAGCTCTGGTTATCAGTTCTACCCCGAGGCAGCCCCCTGCCAGTAGTCCAGAGCCATGCTGCTGTCAGTACCTTTTTGAGACCTCGCTGGATGCTGCAGTTCTTGCAGGAGACCACCTTGCAGTCCCAGTGCTCTGAAGCCCCACAGGTCAGGCAGAGGTCCGGATCGCATTCCCGCACAGCCAGGTAGCACGGGCACTGCTTGGTGTTGCACTGGGTTTTACAGCGGCAGCCCGGGAAGCGGTTCTGACCTGCAGCAACACAGCCCACGGTTTTGCACCATGAGGTTTTTCAGAGAATAGAGGGGCCATGCAGTGTCCCTGCCCCACCAGATGTCCTCCCTGGCAGGCCCTGGGCAGGTACAGAACTAAGCCTGTCTGTGACAATAGGCTACGCTGCCTGCCCACCACCCTGCTAACATAAGAACATAAGGAAGGTGCCTTTGTGCTAATAAAGAGCTCCACATTCACTCCGCTCTGGGCAGCAGAGACAGGAGCCCCCAGCCCGCCTTCCTGCCCCCCAAAGTCACCAGAACAGCGCTCACTAAAAACACAATGAGACAAGGTGAACGCAAGGCAGCCTGGGCACCCAGGAGCTGGAAGTAAATCACAGAAACACTCTGTGCGCACAGGAGCTTTGATCACTGCTCACACCTAACAAAGCACAGACCATGCACAGGGTCCTTCCCATCTGCATGGCTGGAGACACTGCTCTGCCTCTTGGGACTAATTATGTGCAGTTTGCAAATAAACTACTTGGATAACATAAACATAACAGATCAGTACTGAGCCTGAGTTGGCTCCCTTTCACCCTGTAGTCCTTCCAGCCCCAAGCTGTGTCATAAACCTTAACAAATCCATCCTCAGAAGCCCCACTGGTGTGGGCAAGTGCAGTTATCTCCATTGCAGAGCTGGGAATGGAAGCCCAGAGAGGAAAAATAACCACAGCAGAGCAGTGACCCAACTCCCACCCTAACTGCTGGCCACGCATCCTGCTCTCAGGGAACCAGCAGCATCAGCCAGGGGTTGTTGATGCTGGATACAGATATGTGGACAAGTGTTCTCTAACAAGAGCACATATCTCAGCTGCTGAGAGTCACTGGGCAGCATGGAACCGTTTCCCCTTGGACTTTAGCAGACTGCTAATCAAACTGCTGCAGATGGACAGAGTAGTGAATGCAGGAATAAAGCAGGCACAAAGCAGGCCTCCAGCAAGTCCCAACTCTGCACCCTCCCTCTGGTCTGTGTCAGGAGAGCTGGCTGCTTCCCTGCCCAATAATCCCAGGTTTCTCCTTACAGTCAGGGTTGCACTGGCAGAACTTCTCACAGAAATTCTGAGTCATGATGCAAGGGCAGGAGCTGTCACAGGGATGCTCGGGGTGGTCACAGGGCTGGTAGTTGTACACCTGGGTAGGCGAATTATCTAGAACAAGAGGAGAAATGCCCGGATTAGAAGCTGCACATTGTAGAAATGTTTAAAAGCAACACGCACAGGGCTCTGGAGCAAGGAAGGTGCAAGCTTCTCATTTGCCTGCAGAGGGCTGGGAGCCCAGCAGCACCCAGTGCACAGCTCCTGCAGACACATGGCTGTGATTACCTGCACATGGCACATGTCTGCTCTGCCCCAAACAGCCCGTTTTACAGCAGGGCTGCGCACCAAACCTCAGCCTCCCCTCTGGCTGGGGCAAGACCGCACTGCACATACAGCCTCAGAGAGAGCATTGGCACAGCGGCGATTCCCATGGCACAGCTGCAGTGGGGCTGGCCCGAGGCACCCCAAGGAGCCTGGCTGGGGGAAACGGCTCCCGCTCTGCTCTGCTGCAGCTGCCGGGCTGGAGAGCAGGACGCAGCCGTCCCGTTGCGTGAGTCAGAGACAGAGAACTCGATCCCACTGGGCAGTGGCCACGCAAACCTCACGTGACGCAGCCACAGCAAACGCTACCTTTCTTCAGCTGAATCTTCCTGCAGTGAGCAGCCCACAGCCTGGAAGAGAAGCAGAGAGGGTCTGAGGGGACGCGCGAGCCTCCGTCAGGAAGAGCCAGCCACGACTGCTCGGCACCGCCGGTCAAGCGCGGCAGCGGGAGACAGGCGATTCCAGCGAGGCTGTCTGGCAGCTTCATGCATTAATAACCACCAGACAGCCATAAAGCGGAGAAAGATGAGAATGATGCAGCTACAGCAGAAGTTATTTGAGGCAAATAGTAGAGCCAGAGTAATACTGGACACAGTGGGATCAGCACACAAAAAGTAGGTTCTAAGTCAGGGAGCTGAGGCTAAGGGTGCTGTTAGGACAGCAGTACTATCCCTCCTGCAGCAGTGCGGCACTACAGCTGGGCACTGTGCTGCCCTCTCCTCCGGGGCTGAGCCCAGGGCTGCAGAGCCCCCCAGCCAGGGCAGCAGCACCCGGGAGACAGGCCAGGGGCCAGCACCCAGCCAGCAGCCCTGTGCGACAGTGGGATGTGCGCACAGATGGGAGCCAGATGGGGATTACCAGGAATGTGCTGGCACAGAAAGCAGTGGATCTGGTTGCATTTTAAGAACAAAACAAGCTTGTCCAACACTTGCCTGTGCTTCCTTTTCTTCTTCTGGGATGGATTCATTAATTCATTTGTTGGCAGTTTTGTTATAAGTGATTCTTTCACTGCAAACTGAAAGACCTACCAAAGAACAGAAGCAAAAAAAGAATAAAGTTCAGTGTACTCAAGCTGGTTTTATCTAAAGCATAAACAGAGAGAGTGCAAGCAAGCACACACAGTGGGGGTCCCAGTCCCGGGGCCAGTAAGTGGACAATTCTGCCCCCAGTTTCACTGACCACAGGTGCTATTGCTTCTCTTGCTTGGGAAACAAGAGCACCTGCCTTGCCAAGGTGCCCAGCCTCAGACAAGGGACACTGGAAGAAGCTAACAGCACCGGGCATGTGCCAGGCTCATTCTACAACCAGCAGCACTACTGCAAAATAACACCACCGAACTCCACAAAGTGTTGATGCAACACATTCCTCAAGGTGGTTTGTGGCAGAGAAGAAAAAACAACAGCCAAGCTCTCTCCTGCTGCTGGGCCAGGCACTGCAGTCCCTGCCCTCTCCAGGCACCCACCTGCTTGCACGTCTTTGTTCCCAGCAGCCTGGCAATTGAGCAGAAGTTATTGAAGTAGGTCCCATGGAAGACGCGGAAGAGCGACTCCTCAGCTCCCGTCCACTCAACGGGCTCCTGCGGTGTCTCCACCGCAAACAGCTGGGAGGAAGCCGGGCTCAGCTTCTGCTTGGTGGGGGTCTGGCAGCGGGAGTTCGCCTCTGGCAGAAAAGGCAGACGTTAGGCCAAACACAGCATGGGAGAACGCACCCTCGCTGTCACAGCTCCCGAGGCCAGCGGTCCTCTAGCAGTGCCTGACACCTTGCCTCACCCCAGCACCTGAAACCAGGACACCTCTATACCTCCCGGCAGCCCTGCACCACGCTCCTGCCTCTAATCAGGCAGCCCAGCACCAGCACCGGTCGCAACAGTGGCACTGGCCCCCTCACAGCAAGGCAGCACGAGAGCCACCGTGCCACCTTCCCCTTCCAGGGCTGGCCCAGGATGGAGCCCCCTGACCAGAGCAGCACCACCAGAGAGGCCTGAAGACAAGAAAGTCGCTCCCTCCTCTCCCACCCTAGATGGGACCCAGATGTATGGGAGCCCTCTGCCCCCCGGGAGCTCGTTCTGCCCCAGCCACCACTTCCCCTGGCGTGACAGGAGCAGCTTGGTGCTCATCTGCAGCACCGAAGAAGCGTCCATGGACCTGCCAGGGGTGAGCAAGCCCCCCGCCTCGACAGCTCCCTGGCCACTGCTCTGTGCTGCAGCAGGGACAAGCGCGCAGACCAGTGCTGCCTCGGCACTTTACTCGTGCACTGCCAGGCAAAGTGCTCAGAGCCAAGGGCTCTTGGCTTTGCAGGTCCCAGCAAAGCTCTCACTTTGCCTGGCAAGATTCCTCCTTCCTGGAAGAGGACAGCGAATCCCACAGCAGCAGGGGCAGGGCCTGGTGTCCCTCATGTTTGTTTAAGCCCAGCTGGAAACACCAACTCTGTTTGCCAACTCTGAAATCCACACTGCTGTGTGGGACACAGAGGCAAGCCAGGGAGAGCCCCAGCTGTAAGGTGCCGCCTGGCCTTACTGCTCATACTGCCGGAGGGGAGCAGGGTGTCTCTGGGCTGGCATCGTACCCGAGGAGCTAGAGGCCCACTCGTTGCCCGTGTCTCGGTCACTGTCGCCCTCCCTCGTCTCAGCGACGGCAGAAGCTGGGGTGTTTGAGCAGGAAGCACCCACCACATGGTGCCTCCGGCGGCGCCGGCCTGAGCACTTGGACCTGGGGTTGTGCAGCGCAGCAAACTCCTTGGCTCCTTCCTGCAACCAGAGCAGAAGACAAGGCGGATGGCAGATGACCAGGGAACATAAAAAGGCTTTACCGCAGGCCCTGGCACAAGCCCTGCCCTGCTACCACCAAGGGAAGGTGGAAGACCCGCCACGCGTGGTCACTTCAGCGACTGCCAAGGCCCTGCTGCCTGCCTCACCGCACGTTCCCGCTTTGTTTCCTTCAGCGTCGCTGCCCGCTCGGAAGAGGCTCCCCAGCCCTGGCCCTCCAGTCCGCTCCCCAGCCTCTTGCCCTGGCAATGAAGTTATCCTGGCCTTTCCCTCTGCTCCGGCCCTGCAGCTCCCTGGGACATCCTGTATCTCAGCCAGCTGACCAGCTCTGACACCACCAAGCGCACCCACCTCCCTGCAGCCAGCTCTTCCGATCTGCAGCTCTCATGCCCAGTAACACAGCTAGGCTGCGTTTCTGAAAGATCATTTCTAAAATAGTTCGAGCCTTCCCCACATATGCTAGACTCCTTCCCTAGCATTTTTAACCTGGGCTTCATTTTTCAAGTGCTGCACAGAGTCCAGAGAAATAATTTGTCACCACATTTTCCCATCTGCTAGCTATGAAATCAGTCTTTGTTGGAGATTCACTAAAATATGCATCTGGCAAGGTCTGCATTTGGATTCACACTCCCCTGAATCCTATGAGGATTAGAACTAATTCTGAAAAATCATCAAAGTTGTGAAAAGGACCCACAGAGTTCTGCAGAGCAAGGCTGCCCAGGCCACTTCTCTCGTGGTTTCAAAAGCAGCAACACAGAAACATACCAGCCAGAGGAAACAGTCTGCTCCGCAAGGATCTGGCTCGATCTTGGTCTCTCTATTCTTTCGTTTGTACACATTAGGAGTAGCATGAAAAGCTGAAAAAATAACAGTTATCTTTACTATTAGCATCATCCCAGAGTCTCCCCCCACATTGCAAGGGACAGGGGCAGCACGAGCTCAACGAAAGTAAGTGGGAGCCTGACACAGTCAGCAAGAGTGCCCGAGCAGCTCTCCCAGCAGCAGGGAACGAGGCAGCAGGACCTCCTGGCCAGCCCTGCTCCAACCCATGACAGGGACTCAGCAGCAGTGGGGGAACACTTGGGAAGGAGAGGCCATAGGAAAAAGATCTGTTTTCAGACTGAAACAAAAAGACCACATGATCTTAATATTATATCTTTTAATAAATAATTCACTGGAAAGAGTCTTGTGACTTTCCAAAGAAGCCCTTAGACCTGGGAAACAGCAGGTCCAACAGCTAATCAGTATCCAAAAGGCTTTGGCAGGACAAACCGCAGGAACATGACTAAGAAGAAGCTGTAAGTTCCAGTGAGGCAACAAAACACAGGGGCATGTCCAGACTTTGGAAGTGAAACATTCATGCCTTTCCCTGATGAGCTTCTGCAAAGCAAGAGTAAAGTCTAGTCACGGCAGTATTTCTGGCACAAACTGCCAGGAGGCTCGAACGCAGCGTGCTGAACAATGGTGAGAAAGAGGGGACGGCCACGCAGGTCGGTTTACCATCCGTTTGAGGAAATGAGTGGAGCCATCTTTATAAAAGGCTTCTGGGCACCTGTCAGTTCCTAAGGCTCCACTGCAAACTCCGTGGAAGCACCACCCTCTAAAGACTGCAGCACAGACACTAAGCAAGGTGGACAGAGGTATGAAGCACTGAGGAAAAATGAGGAGAAAAGGGCTCTAGGGAAGCGTCCGGCCGAGACTGCACTTACGATGCAGAAAACAGTCGTATTTGAAGCAGCGGCGGCAGAAGAGGGTGTGGAAGGAGTGCAGGGACTGCTCCCGCTGGACAGACTTCGCGCATGGCCCATCTATGTTGGGAGTGCACTGCGGCGGCAGCACGTTTGGGTCCGACACTTCCGTGAGCTCCCTGTACCTATTCGACAAACAGAAACACCCGCAGATGTGCAAGCTTTCCTAATTTGGGACATTTTACACGACTACATTACTATCTGGGCCAGCGTCCTACTGGCCCAGATACCTTGAGGCTAAACTAAAGTTTCTAACATTCAAAAACCACTCTGCTCACGGTGCCTGCAGCCAGCTGAGCTCTACTTTCTGGTCAGAGCACAGTGCTGTTTTCTGAAATACAGATTTCAATTGTTGCTAAGAAAGGTAACAGACAACTTAAGTAGAGATCTTCTACCTCTCTTTCATATCATCTGGGAAGCCATATTCAGGAAACATAGAAGAAATAGCAGTGAATATCATGTCATTTGGAAACCGCTTCTTTGAACCCTTCTTGTTACCTGAGAAAAAGAAGAGAGACAATTCCTCAGTTAAGCTGGATGTGAACACGTCTGTCTTTCTTCCACAGGGAGCGATTCCAGTAGGTGTTCGGAATTGTATTTTAAGAGACAGAAATGTAATCCAATATACAACAGATAAATCTTTTGTCCTGCAACTAGGCTAAAGCATTTCCAGATGCAGTACACTCTGCCACTTTCAGAGTAGCATAATGTACTGATGGAAGTACTAACAATTTCTTAAGGACTATTACTATTTATTTTTACCAAGACAGGATTTGCAGACAATGCTATTCTACATCTATGAAAGGTCCTGGTATTTGTGCTATCCATATCACTATAAACCAAAGACAAAGATGAAACTACCAGTCAGTACTCCTGAGGTCATGCAGGACGCATGAACATCCCAAAAACCAGAGCTTCCTCTATGCAACAAGAGCTCCAAGTGGCACAGGAAGGGGGGGAAGAGGAACACAAACATATGGAAAAGGGATCTGGAAGGGATTTGAAAAGGTCCACCTCCCTGGTCTACAGCAGAATCAGATCTACCTACAAATGTACTGACATGCGCTTGCCAGACTGGCACTTTAAAACCTCCAAGAGCAGAGATCCTGCAGTCTCCTCAGATAATACCCCACTACTTTGCTAATCTTACCATGAAATAGTTTTCCAGATGACTCATCTAAATTGTTCCTCACCACACTTTAAGCTGGTGACTTCTTATCCTGTCCACACGGGACAGTGAGAACAACCGATTTCCCTTCTGCTTTCAACTACTGTACCAGAACTTGCCAAGCTGGTCACTACCCTTAATGACACATTAATAACCAAGAGTGATGGCAGGAGAGCAGTGGCCAGCTAGTCAGGCAGGGCAGGATGGAAATGTGACCAACATAACCCCAATTTCTGTGGCCCAAACCCACCTTCCGCTGCAATTCGCTTTCTTTTCCTTGTGACAGGCAGCTCCTCTTTCCCATCCTCCTGTTTAACTTCAGAATCATTGTGTCCTTCCTCTTCCTCATCTGAGTACTGATTCAGGGCATTCACTAGCTCCAAGAACACAGCATCACTGATGAGGACTGACCCTGAAATCATTTCTGAAACACAGAGATGTCAGCCAGTTTGCCATAGTGCCATCACCTTTCACATGCCTCATGGTGGTAAATCACAAGCCAGCCAGATGACATTGTTAGCAACCAGAACCTTTCTCTCCATTTTGTAGGGATAGGTGGGATTTTACTGCTAGAGAGTCCTAAGAGTGGTGTATCATTTTTAGCAACCTGAGGACAGGCCATATCAGTGAGTTTTCCACTGTCTTCCTCCCTCCAGGCAGAGTTTTATGACGGGGTAGGCAGCACTGTAGGGAAACACACCAGCTTTTCAATTCTGAAAAGACTGATTAAAGTCTTGGCTAAGGTCACAAGCAAAACAAGGTTGCAGAGCGCCTCCTAACCTCTAGCATGTTTTTCAGCATCCCAGAGCACGCCTGTGAACCCCTGTGAACAAGAGCATCGGCTCCAGAGCACCCCAGGCCTAGAATGGAGTGGGATATCAAAAGGCAGGACTGTGTCCTTGCAAACCAGAACAGCAGGCATGATCCTGTTTTTCTGCTCTAAGAGCTCCCACAGAAAAGCTGGTTACTGCTGCCACCTTTTGACTTCTAAACTACTTTGATATGTTATTTGCAAGACACTGAATGGACAGGGCTGACTGCTGCCAGGTTACCTTCCTCTCCATGAACTTTCCCGTCATAGTTATTAATAAGTTCTTCAATGAAAGTTTCATCTTCTTCCTTCACCTCATCTCCCATGTAAGGGATATTGCACAGAACAGTTTCATCCTCCACCTGAAAAGAGATCAGATACAACTCAGCAAACCAGTCCTTGCCGATCCCCAGCCAGACTGTGTGTCTGAGGTTGCTCCTGTCCATTCAGACCTGCAGACAGCACAGTGCAAAGCAAAGGTTCAGCCTCCCTGGCTGCAGTTTCAGATGTCTCATCACTGATATTTCATTATCCCATGCCAGCAGCATAACTCTGACCGACCCCTGAAAGTGCAGTTTGCTCTGAAAAAGAAGAGCAGTGCCTCCAAGGCTTACAGAAACTCAGAAACACACATATTGCCAAGAATAATAAACAGCCAAAAAATGTCAGTGACATTGTGTTCAAGGCACAGTAGAACTGGAACAGTGAAAGGCAAACCGGTAACTCACTCCCCAGAGGAACACAAAGCTGAGGAGCATTATCACGTTAACCACAGGAGCAAGGACATTGGACCTTCATTGCCATGGCACCACCGATCAACTCTTTGCATTACAGCCACTGGTGTCACACTACTCCCCCAGTCTGCTACCGGAGGCTTCAGAGAGCCCTGCAGGCTGCAGGAACACATCCACACCCCACACCAGGCAACGAGCCAGGCTAGCCACAGACCACCTGTTTGTTTAACAAATAATCTTAACTACACCACACCAAAATCTGCATTTAAATCACTCCCCTCACTGCTATGACAGAGGAACTGATCCTCAGTAGCATCCTTACAATGAGACCAGCAGGGTAATCCAGTCACAAAGGAAAGGACCTGCCTAAGAAATAAAATTCTTCATTTAAATGGGAAGAAAAATCTTAAGAAAAACCCCCAAAAACGTATTTAGTCCTTGAATCCTGTGAAATAATGGTGACCCTATCAAGGAGTCAGGTATAAAGGAGAGACTAGCTGGGCAAGACTGTGCGGATACAAGGCTGTTCTATGGGATTCAACAAAACAAGCAACTAAAACAATACCTTCCGTCATCTCTTGAGCAGACACTGCTTGAAACAAGTGGGTTGAAGAAGGCATAATCACTCCACAACCACGTAACGCTTACACACTAACTGCACCAAGACCTCACGCTCCACAGCCTTCCTACTTACCATGAAATTCTGCTGAAGAGGGGACCAGGAGTACATAATGGGCACCAGTGCCACTGTGTTCAGGGTCCTCATGTACAGCGTCTGGCTTGGAAATCCCGGGAAAATGCTCTCAACAGTACACTGGAATACAAGTAAAGAGAAGGGCAGTGAGGAAACCGCCCCCGGGAGGCACTCACAGCCAGAGGGAAATCGCACTTCAGGACAAACACAATGAAGCCCCTGGTTCACTCTTTGGGACTCCTTCACAGGAAAAGCCTTTGGAGGGTTTTTCTGCCCATTTCTGCATCCCAAAAGAGTGCGAGGCATGGCCTGACACTAACATAGGATAGCACACACAAAAACTAGTCCTGTATCCTCACAGCTCCCTGCAAAGCCCCGGTTCTAGTTCACACTTGCTGCTGCTGTGCCCCTTTTCCTCTCCACACCTGTTTTAGAAATGGATGCCCACTGACTGGCTTCATCAATTGCACCGGCTGGACTCGAAGCTTCTTCCAGTCCTCATTCAGAATCTGAGTCTTTTCATGAACCTTCGCAAAGTTGGCCACAAACAGAGCCTGAAATGAGAGAAAGCAGCACTCAACATTTAAGAAATCATGTGGAGAACACTAAAGCCCCTCTTGAGATTTTGTTTCAAGCATCAAAATGTATGCAAGGCAGAGCATTTCAAATTGATGATTGTCCTGGTTTCATCTGGGATGTAGTTAGCTGTCTTCCTAGTAGCTGGTACAGTGCTATGTTTTGAGTTCAGTATGTGAAGAATGTTGATAACACTGATGTTTTCAGTTGTTGCTCAGTAGTGTTTAGACTACAGTCAAGGATTTTTCAGCTTCTCATGCCCAGCCAGGCCACCTGACCCAAACGGGCCAACAGGGTATTCCATACCATATGACGTCCCATCTAGTTTAGGAACTGGGAAGTGGGGGGGGGCAGGGTTTTCGCCGCTTGGGGACTGGCTGGGTGTCGGTCGGCGGGTGGGGAGCGATTGCCCTGTGCATCATTTGTACATTTCAATCCTTTTATTACTACTGTTGTCATTTTATTAGTGTTATCATTATCATTATTAGTCTCTTCTTTTCTGTTCTATTAAATCGTTCTTATCTCAACCCAGGAGTTTTACTTCTTTTCCTGATTTTCTCCCCCATCCCACTGGATGGGGGGGGAGTGAGTGAGCGGCTGCGTGGTGCTTAGTTGCTGGCTGGGGTTAAACCACGACAATGATGCTCATTAGATGGAATTCTAATTAAACTCAGTATTGGTACAAAACCGTGTTGAAAATCTACCCAACAGCCAGTAGCTTTTGATAACTCCTGATCCCAGCTGACCTCTTCTAAAATCCTGCCTGCCAAGGAGAGGAGTATCAGAGTAAGCCATCTGAAACCCACCAGCACAGAGAGGGTTCAAGCAGGGAGATACTTTAAAGAACAAGTAGAAGTGAATCCTCTTGCTGCAGTTATGCAAGTACTCAGGCAACAGACTTCTACATACAACAGACACTGACTGCATGGCTCAAGGCTAATAATGGAGCATGAGGAGAAGTAATCTCTCTTCCAACTTATCCAGCTTGCAACTAACACATAGCTTATCAATCCACAGGATGAAGCACCCATCTGATAGCTGCCCAAATACTATAAGCTAAAGCGAAGCATTTAGGAGATACCCTTTCAGCTAGAGCTACCACCGATATGTCTTTACCTTAGCTCCCATGTTCGCCTGAAACCTCTTGAGCTGCCGGAGACGCATATATTCAGACTTGACTTTTCTTTTCCAGTATATAATACACTTTGATGTTGGAGGAGTGGCGATTTCCATTTTTCTATAAAAGTACAGAAGGAATAAATTACCAAATGATGGAGAGCTTAATCCTGTAAACAAGTGCTATTAAGATAAAAAAATCCCTGTGGATTTTAAATGCATCACAGACACTAATGAGGAAAAATTAACGGCGTAAATCCGCACCAGCCCTAGCTAGGGAACAACCACGGCACAAAGCACACTGAAGAGCCCAGGGAGCTCCTGGACGTCGGCTGCAGTGGAGAACCAAGCCTGGCCGGGGTCCGGCCTCTCCTGCCCCCCCCGGAGCCCCCGCGACCCCTCCGCGGGCAGCGCAACGGAGGGCGGCCCCGGCGCCCCGCTGCAGCCCCGAGAAACCCCGGGGCGGGGGGGGTGTCCGCTGGG